TATATATATTAATGTGTGCGTGTCGTGTACGCGCGCGCACATGTATGTATGTACCGTAATTATCGCATTCTTTCTTTATTCGGCGATCGACCAGTCGGTAATTTACAAGACAAGTTCGGACAGCTGTGTTTATCGACGTGAACATCGAGCAATAGATGTTGAGCAGAGGGCGCCTACAACAAAGCCTCTTATTCTTCTTTCTTTGTAATAAATTCTTTGCTATTTTATCATATTTAGAAGACACGCATTATAATTGAATAAATCCACATAATTTTATAATATTTGATTTCATTTTACCACATTCACTCGATAAATGTTTTCAAATATATTTAAAAAATAATTATATAAAAATTTTATTCTGATGATTTTTTTTGTTCTAATAATCTAAAAATTTTTAGATAAAACTGTTATCGATTTAAAAAGCTTATGACAATATTTTTTTATAATAATACTAAATAAATATAATAAATTTGAGCTATTGTATATCATATACTTTTAATAGCGAATTTAAGTGGACACACTCATGCGCATCATGGCATGCATATTAAAATCGTTATATAATGATTTTATCTAAATGTAAAAATAAAAAGTGAACATTTCGAATTATAAAATATAATTTTACCTAACAACGCAATAAAACGTATTGAGGATTTCGCAGTTTACCCGTTTCTATATTTATATTAATTAAACGCACCTTTACGTCAACATTTATGTACGATGGCTTCAATGTGCATCAGTGCATCCAACCGAATTTGCTACAAGGCACTTTATTGTATCATATTTTTTATATGAACGTATTTCTTTTTATAATGCGAAACTGTTAAATAAAGATAACGAAGGTAGCGATTGAAAATAATTTTATTGCAACAAACATTGAACGTATTTTTTTAAATATATGCGAAACTGTTAAATAAAAATAACGAAGGTAGCGATTGAAAATAATCTTATTGCAACCAACATTGAACGTATTTTTTTAAATATATGCAGAATCAATCATATCAATAAAATATAAAATTCAGATTTTCCGGCTATACTAAAAGAAATATTGGAAAATATCAATTTTACACACATTTACACATACAAAGATTATATCGTTATAGTTTTCAATTAAATACTATAAATTTAAAAAGTATCGGGAATTGATTTCATTTTATTTAATTTTATCTCGTCCTCTATTATTTTATTTTATCGATTTACTGCGCACATTAACTGATTTAGGTGAGTTAATTTGGAAAAACTCTGTATATTCCATTCAAACACTTCCCATTACGGCGTGTGAATTGTTGATAATTACGAAGAATTACATATCAATATCATGATCATTATTACCGTTGTCTGTAAGTCTTCGATCATCGTGTTTTTATCGCGATATGTACTTGCATAGATCACGATCGTATCGTGCGAGTAATAATTCTTACGTCAAACATTCCACCGCGTGTAAATAATGTCGCTTCTCTATAATTATAATTATAAGCATACGTGAATCATTATACGAGATGCGCTAAAATTACGGAGAATCAGGTAATGAGAAGCCAAACTAATTGGATTTCCGTGGAAGATAAATGAAACATGCAGCCAAACTGTTTGTTTACAGCATATATCATCTTTTCCGAGATAATCTCTTATTTCTCAACATTTTCCGATTTTATTTTAATCTTTTATTATAATATTCTCTAAAATTTAATAGCCTCTAAAATATTAATAATAATATGAAAGAATCTGTCGTTTTATATTACTTCAGTTTTTGTTAAATCTTTTTTAACACTTCTCGAATTCTTTCCAATCATATAATTTCAATCTTCCTGTAATAGTGATAATTTATCAGAATCGTTTAAAGTTTAATTTATTCGTAGACAGGTGTGAAAAATGCGTCATCAAATCGAATGCTGTTACGCGATGTCCGTTTTGAACGCAAATGGAAACGTTAAATCTCCGACATAAAACAAGTCTCTCATAATAGTATATCTATTTTAAAATTTAAAAAAGTAAAATTATCTTATTGATACTTCCGATAATATCTTTTAATATCTTTTAATGAACTCAATGTTTTTCTCTTAAATATTTTTATAAGGAATAACAATTTTTTATTAAATCATAATATTACAATTCTCAACGTGAATTAAAATTTATTTTTTCTATCATTTTTATTCACTAAAATTTAGCGAATAAAATATGCGATTGCATCAAATAACCCATCATCTATTATTGCGCGTCCAAAATTTATTTATTATATTTAACTAAATTTCAATAAAAAAAATTAAATATCGTAAATTGTTATAGGAAAAGAAATGCTACTTTTAGTGTTTGACATATATTTGATTTTTTTAATGTGAAATTTTTTTAAATGTATTTGTCAATAAGCAGAATACATCAATAAAAATTCAAAAGAAAAATCGAGCAAAAAATTGATGCCACATCGATAGAACCAGCTAAAAAAATCAATTTCTGACGCATGTACGGAAATTCACATTAGTTATTATGAATCATATCGGTTTTCATTTCTGTATAAAACAAAAAAGATGGGATGTCGGAAAAATTTGTCCTAAATTGTTTCAATAGGCGAACATATCAAGTTATAATATCTTTAGCCAAATGTAATTCATATGTCACTGTGTGTAGGAACCTTTATCGCCAGTCGTGTCAACAAGCGTCGCATTGAAATCTCCACGTTGTCCCACATACGCTCAAGGCAAAAAAACCACAGGCTCTGGCTTAGGTCGTTTTAAAATGTTTAATCTTTGCACATCTTTGCTCGCACATAGATACAATAAAACTTATATGCTAGGAAATTTATAAACGAATCCACGATTTCGAGTGGAAGTCTTATCCGACAACAATTTTTGTTGTCCGTGGAACACAAACAGGCAAAAAATCTCTCACGCAGTGTGTCGACGCTCAAAGATGAGCGGGTCAACATTGAAGTTTTTTGTGTGTCTCTCTTTCTCTCTCTTTCTTTTTTAATTTCTACCTTTAGTGTTCTTGAAAATACCACTATTTATCACATCTTACATAAAATAACACGAACATGCACGTAATTGCGACCGATGGACGAATACGACCATTAAAATAGTAGCTTGAAAATAGCTGACAGTTCTTCCTATGATACTTGTGGTCGTCGCAATCTGCGTGCAGTAACCATTTATTGCTAGTCGCGCTAAGGCCGTATTGCAAATGCGGTTTTTTTACGGTTCAAGATGACGCAATTGGTTGACAGCGAAAGTATTATACAAACACATATACATTTAGAACGCAAGAGTAATTCGCGTCAAATTAGAAAGAAGATAAATTACATACTAGGCGGTATCAGAATCCTCGACCTTAATTCCGATGATAAATGTAAATTTGAAATTGATTTTTCTTAAGCCATTACAAAGAGTTATTACTTGATATTTTTTTTTGTATAAAATATTGATTATATATCAATTAATCATATATCAATTGATCATATATCAATAAAAATTCAAAAGAAAAATCAAGTAGAAAAATTGATGCCATATCAATATAGTATCGATTAAAAAAAATTTCTGTCGCTGAAACTAAAGTCGAGAGTTCTAGCACACGCTATATAACAGCTAACGAAGATTCGTATGTGATGTCAAATCACGTACTTTCCTAATGTAGCCTCTTCTCCCTTAATTGACGTGTAGGGAATAACAATGACGCATATATCACTCGTAAAATGCCTGTTCCGTCGAATGGATAAACGTTCGCTGAAAACGTCGCGACAGGTTCGTAACGTGTGCGTCACGATAAGTTGCAACTTCATCGGTCATTTATGTAGACAGGCAACGGAAACCGCTTAATCCACTGTTAACAGTTAGATTACATGCTGCACCTTTTTCCCCAAGGCCGTCACGACCGACGAACCGAATTCTCGAATGCGACTATGGAAACGGAATAAAAGTCGATCCGCTTTGAGCAACGGCGAATATCTATAGAATATAGTACAATTATTTTTTACAACTAAAATGATTTATAAAGTAATATAACGGTGGTTCTCAGATGTGTATTTGTGAAAGGAAATTCGAGCTATTTTCTTGATATATGAAAATAAGACTCGAAAGAGAGACTGAATATTAATAAGTTTTTTTCTCGAATTATAAAATTTATATTTCAACTTTTAAGAAAAAAAAAAACATATATTTAAGGAAAAGAAACGATAGCTATTTTTAAAAAAGAATTCAATTAATATTTTCAAAAGTGAAATACTTTCCATTTTTCTTTCTACTAATAAAGAAAAACTTAAGATCAAAACACCTTTATATGTCTATTATATTATATACATTACGCGGGTGCTACGAAATTGAGCTGGATTTTTATTTGTTCGCGTTCACACCTCAAAATTACATTAGAATCATCTCTCAGGCTAAACACTCTTTCGATTGGTCTATTATTTCTTTATACCTACTTTTTAGCATCTATTTAGGTATATCCTACATATAAAACTATTTTATTAAAAATCTCTTTCATGAGACTGAGTATAAAATCATTGAATTAATCATTCCCAAGCAACTTGTATATAGAATTACGCGGGATATGGATATACATGCAATATAAAAAAAAAACGGTAAAAATGAAATATACATATACGTCTAGAATTGAACGCTTGGGAAAGACTAATTATTTATACTACGATTCAGAATATTCTTCTAACTTTTAAATAAATCAGTGGTTAAAGCAAAACGCATAACAAAGCGAAGTAATGATTGATCATGTCATTGTTACTTTGTTTCGTTGTGTTTTGTTTCAACTACTTATTTGTTTAAAAGTTAATGACGATTTTGAATCATTGTTTAGAAAAACAATTTAAATCCAATTTAAATCTCAATTGCTTACGCATACCTGATGCTACTAATACGTGGATCGAAATACGTGATATGAAAATATAACCATGTATTATCTTAGTGTAAACATACTTGCAGGAACGCGCCGCGAGGTGCGAGTCAGTCCATGTATCGGTGTATTTGAACTAAATAATTAAATTATCATACAGCGCAAGGTGCGCGTCCAAGATTTCGCGCTTATGCGGTCACGGACTTCGAGCTAGTATTACCCATCTTCTTCGTAAATTCCATAAGGAAATCCCTATAGAGGAGCGAGTCCATGTTGGTCGAAAGAATGTAAAGTATCCACCAGTCACCTAAGTCGACTTTTCTGCTGACGCTCTGACAAGTTTCAATGGGCAATAGTCTCGACGATAGATGTAATACTCTCGGCCGTATCATTGGAGCGAAAATGATCAGAGCTCGATATATTATCAGAGCAATTAACATGATGCCTAGTATGAAGAACCAGAACCAGATGAAGATGTATGTCTTTTCGTTGACGATATTTAATGGCAGAATGCAGAGAGAATCATGCTGCTGTATTGTACCCGAAGCTCCGTATTTGTGGAATATACACTTGGTAACGCGGGGAAACACATAGACCATGGGGTCAATTCGTTCCTCTTGCGGTGTATCCGAGAACTGCAGTACTCGCAGACCATAGCTGAGGAATTCGCCATCGAAGAATCGGTTCATCAGATAGAGTTGACCGATTATATTGACGAGGCACAGAACCTCGCAGGCGAAGTACCGATACACGTACGTGTTGTGATTCTGAAAGCACAATTCATCGTTGAATTAAAGCAAATTGGACTCAATGAGGACGAATTGATCTTAACGCGGTCATCTCCCTCTCTTGTGTCTCACATGTCTTCCCCACCTCCCCTTCTACTTTCTTGGTCATCTACTAACATTTCATCCAAGTGACACCGGGATCTCATGTAATCTATTAAATGCAACCTAGTTTCGTTGTAAGAAATTAACATTGCATTTAAGAAGGATTCATGTTAGAAAATTCACTAGATTTTTACATTGCAAAAAATTATAGTCGCATCTAGAAATTCAAACTAGATTTTAGTAGATATTTATTAGATTTTATTAGGAACTTATTAGATATTTTAAATTGCAAAAAATTATGATTGTATTTAAGAAGGATTCGGATTATAATTTGCTGGTTATTTTACATTTATATTTATAAAATCTTATGAAAATATTTTGTAAGATTACTATTTATCTTTAAATAATAAATCATTACGAACACTGTTTCTTATCACTTCTAAATTCTACGGTTATCTATTTTACGGTAGATTCAAATTTAATCTCTCAGTGTATTTGGAAAACATTCAGTAAAGCGGGAATATTATGACTAAACGTTAGTTACGCAGTAACGCGTGCGATGTTATTGAAATCCAAGTAGTTATCAGTGATCACCAAGAGCGCCTAGTTAAATATGGATCAGTCTGCCTAATAATAAATCTGCCTTTTCATACATTATTATTTTGTACATCGGCCAAGTGAAAAATTAATCAAATTTATGCAGTCGATTTGTTTATTTTCTTACCCTTATGTGCATCATCAAGTAATCCATGAGAATACTTTTCTTCTTTGTTATGTTGTCCTTGGTATCCATACCACAATTCATTCCCATGACCAATGCTTGCATCAGGCCGCCTTCCCAGAAACCCCACAGCCATTGCGGTACATAACACAGAATCGCCTATTAATAAAGGTAATCAGATGAATAAATAAGCATTATATAATGTAATGTCAATCATTGTAAGTTATAAAAATTAGACGAATTAATTCTGTAAAGAAATTACATCAAAATTTACTGAAACACTCAAAATATCATCTTTTCAATCACTACTTTTTGTATGTACATTAAACTCCAGAGTGGAACTCTTTCCGTTAACGCATTCGAAAATGGATTGAGGATCAACGCTCAACTTTTTACAATTTATCTGTCTCGCAATTGTAACTGTACAAATCTTTGCGAACGGCTATTAAAGCGACCATTTATGATCTCCTACGCGCGAGTCAACACGTGGGCCGCCAGACATAAAGGACAAGCGCGGATCAGCGAAAAGACAAGCGGGCGAGCATAAAGAGGAGATAACAATGGGAAGATCTCCGAGAAGTCCTCCTTCTTACTTGGCGCGCGTTCACCATGTCGCACGTCTGGCAAGATTGCCGATAAAGCAAAGGTTATCCTCTGCTTACCTGGAAGAACAGGACGAAGCAGACCCACTGATAGTACGTGTAGTATTTCCTTGCCTCGACATCTCCGAAGTCGTTGGCCACTCCTGGATGGGCCACCTCCGAGCCGACCTGTGGAAACACGAGCCTTTAGCGACTTAGCGATAACGATGGCACCGCGTTATATGCATCTCAACGTGATAAAGCTATTTGACCCTCCTTAGATAACGAGAAGTCAACTCCTACCTCCCCCCTCCTGGCTTTTTATTAGAAATTAACACTCGAGTCTTAGCTGTTGATAATATAAATCTTCCTTGCGCAGCTATATGAGTATTTTTCTTGATGGATACGTTTCATGTTTAATAGACGCAGGAAGATCAAGTGCACGCGTCATTACAACTGATATATATTATCAGGAGAGTTAATAATATCACAAATGATATTCATTTTTTGGTGTATTTAATGATTTATTCTTTTTAATTCTTGCATTTTATCTTTTTTTTTTTCCTTTTCTCCGACGTGAAGAGAAAAAGAGAAAAGATGAACCGTGTAAGAAGCTCGAGCTTATTCGTTTCAGATGAAAATAATATAATTTAAATTGTCCTAAGATATCGCAAACTCGAGCGATACTCGAACGGTCGTTAAAAATAATCAATGCGCCACGGTATCAACTCCTCGTATTGATACATTCATAAGCAATCTTTTATCTGAGGAGTAATTGCCGGTTCAGGATTAAAAGTAAATGATGAATACTTGTTGAATATTACATTTATACAGCACAGTAGACAATGCAATATAAAAAATTTTAGCTTCTCGAAGATGATTAAAAATACATTTTTTTTTTATCTATACAGTCATCAATATGGTCATTTTCATAATTTTCTCTGCATTCGTAAAGACGACTTACCAATTCACATGTTTATAAATACGTTGATGGTCAAATTTCAAAGTACAACTCGCAAAAGAATCGTATAAATTACAGCCACATATTACTGCACGTTTATATAAATGCTTCTGATATTTTATACGATTCTCTAATATTTGCGTATATAAATTTTAGTAATAATGTAATATATATACGAAGCTATTTTCTTTGGCTCTACACATGGATTTTCCAGTATGTACTATTATTATTACATCACGTACGTACATCATGCAAAACTCAATTGTCCCACATATTTCAATTAAAACCGCAGTTGATTATCTACAATTTCCAACATCTCGTTCGATGTTGAATCAATTATCTCCGCCTCATTAGCCATATAGACAGCATTCCTTTCGTTCATCCTCGCACATTTAACGGTATTCAAATATTTCGAACAAAAATTGTGTCTCGTTGACTTTATTTTTGCCGACAGTGCGCGACAAATTTTTATAATATAATATCGATAATTATGAGCGTAGCCAAGAGGGAGAGCAGGAGGGATCGCGTCTCTCTAAATCTTGTAAAGAATAAAAATAATTAAAGCCGCTTAAACAGACTAATGCTTAATGAGTATTTACAAGAAATTGATTTTGGAAAAAAAAATTAAAATGTTATAGAAAAATTTTCTGAGAATCTAAGATTATTGTTATAAGTTTCTTTAGTTCGAAGAATCAATTTACAATTTTAAGAGAAAAATAAATTAGTAAATTAAATATGTAATTTTGTGATTTATTTGCTAATAATTAATTAAAAATAATATAAAACAATATAAGTCCATACCACTCGAATATCCTTCCCCGATCAAAAGTCACAACTCTAATTTGTCTTCCCCTCCCACAACAAATTCATTGCTACGCCTATGTTCGCAAGAATTATGTATTTTAATTTCGCGTAGAATTCAAATAATTAATACTCAATTCTAATTGATTAAAAATAATAAATTCTTTTGAGATTATTTGTTGTATATAGATTACAAGTGTCACTTTTAAAATTTACACGTGAAAAATATGCGAAACCATATCGGGTTTATGACATATGGAAATCAAATGCTGATTATGTTACCTGCTACCTATTAGATCAAAGCTGTAAACGTAACAAATTTCTTAACCATGAAGCAGTATCGAGTATCGAAAGCGATATTATTTACAAAATGATGCAACAAAATAAGGAAACTATGTGATCAGGATGTTCATTGAAACCTTGGAAAAAGTCCTTGAGAACTCCCTTGATAATTTTATAGATATTTTTATTCAAAATTTCCAATAAAAGATCAGATCATTTTTTATGCAATTTTGAAATAATTTGAAGTGCAAGTAATGCAAACAAACTATAAAATATATTATAAATTAGTAAAAAAAAAAATAAGGATTCTACGAGATTGTATCTAACATGTTCTGTAACTGCCGAGAAATCTATAGAATAATATGAAAAAAACTCAAACATTACAAGATAATAATGAGTTATTTTCTTCTGCTGGACATTACCTTCTATTGTCACCTTGATTTTTGTAAAAACCCGAGACACGCACGTACATATACTCGGATATGTATGCCATATTTATTGCTAACCAGTTATCAACATCAAAAAAAAAAAAAAAAAAATAATCAAAGAGACAATGTTTTCAGAAAGTGATAGAAAAATAAAATTCAGGAAATTTTCCTGAATATTGATAAACAGTTCCATGAAAATTCCTGATTTTCAAGGATAGAAAAGAAACTCCGAAAATGTCACATTTTCTGGGTAGTAAATACTTCGTGTGACCTGAAGCGTAATCTAGTCACACAATTAATGAACGAGTATAAGGTGATTTCAAATGTACAGCTATGGCTTTAAAAAAAAAAAAAAAAACTAAAGATTAGCTATGCTTGCGTCTAAAGCTTTGGCCCGATAAGTCGCGTCAGCTGGTAATACAATCAGTATTTGATTTCCATATATGATAACGTTGCAATATATAGTTTCGCATATATAGCTTTTATTCGATGCGCGTATGGATTGTCAATAAAGACAATATTATAGAGCCTTCCTATTGAATAACGAACAAGTTCCACGTATTTTGAAGTAGAAAACAATGTTCATAAAATAAGTAATTTCTAAGAAATGACGTACTTAAATTCTTGTAAGAACAGCGTATATTAAGAATATATTACTAAGTAATTTAAAAAATGTAACGTCATCAAACATGATGATTATATAACCACTTGGCTCATTAATCATTCTTTTTGCCATGAAACACCTTCCATAGATATTCGCAGAGTAATCAAGTGTACTTTCTTGAACATTATACGATTCACAAAGAGAGATAGCAGATATAAAATCTTTTTCGTAATTTTAAAGACAATTTCTTCATGAATAAGAAAAATAACGTGCATTGTATGTGAGCAATAATTCACACAATGATTCCATCTCAAGTATGATACATAATGCGATTATAATACAATAGACAAATGAGTAATTGTTTTTTTATTAATAAACTTCATTAATTAATTTTATTAATTTTCTTAATAAAATACCAGAAAAACTAATTTTATTAATAAAAAAGACTTACAATATGAAAATAATCAACTCTAATATTTTATAACAAAAAACAGAAGTTACAGTAAATCAAATTCCATTTTTGTCGGATGAAAACATGGCGGTATTCTGGGAAACGTTTCTCATTCTCAAGTAATATATCTGACACTCGAAATACTACTGTACTGTAC